AAAATTAATTCTTATTAATTCTTAACTAATATTAATTAAACAATATGATTTCTCTTTTAATATATTATTCATATAATATATTAATAAATCATAATTAATCTCTTTCTCCACAAATCATCCTATCAAGTTGCTTTAGTGAAGGCAACATAAAAGGACCATGCTCACAATCGGTCAAGTACATACCAAAATAGTTATGGACTTAGACATTAATCCAACAATAAGGATTGTCAAAAACAGACTTATAACGAACAAGTTATGGCCTTCGGAAGTTTGGTGGTTTTAGGGTTAAACCGAGTATGCGGGGCGTACACAAGTGTACGCATAGTGTACTAGTGCTAAGGCCAGTACGCGGGTCGTACATTGGTGTACGTTGGGCGTACTAAGCAAATGATCGCAGATGCTTTAGGGAGTACTCTGGGCGTACCAGAAGTACGCATGGCGTACTCTAGTCAAACCCAAACCCTAACTTAGGGTGTTGGACCCTATTTAAGCTCCTTAACTCACCACCAAACCTTATTATCTTCAGCCTCCATCCCTCTAAACCCTAGAAACGAAACACTAGCCCCTATTTGAGTGGTTTTGTAGCTTTTGGTGGTATTTCATGCTTTTTAGTGTTCATAGGAGAAGAAGGAACTTCTTGGAGAAGTGTGGGATTGCTTGAAGCTTTTGGATCCAGGCTTGTTGCATCTTGATCTACATTTTTGAGGTATAAAGTTTCTATCTTGATGACTCTAGGTGTTAGATCTAGTTTACGGTGTATTTTGGGTTCATTTTGTCCTTAGAGTCATCCTTGTGAGTATGAGCTACTCCAAGAGCTTAGAATGTTGGATCTTGGCCTTGGGAGGTCCCTTGTTCATAAAAATGTCATATTGATGAGTTATTTTGGACCATGCATGAGTTTGGAGGTTTATTATGGATGTTATTAAGGATTTGGTCCCATTAAGCCATGCAAAGGAGTAAAGTTGCCAACTTTAAGTGTTAAGACATCTTATTAGGGTATATCTGATTTTGGAAGTCATAGTCTTAACCATTAAGAGCTTAATATGGATTTTGGCTCTCTGCTGTGTACGTTGGGCGTACGTAGGAGTACGCTCAGCGTAATGCATGGTTTGTGCATCAGCCGCTTGTACTCTGTGCTTTGAGGGTGAGTACGCGGGGCGTACTCCCCAACTTGTCATTTTAGGCTTTTTGAGGTTTGGGCCTTGTTGGGATATTGGGCTTCTGGATTTGGGTCATGGTTAGATTATGGGCTTTCTTGGTATTGGTCCCATGATAGTTTTTGGGCCCAATTAGGAAGTTAGGCCATATTGGGCTTTGTATTGCCATTTTGGGTTTTGGGCTTTTTGTGCATTTTGAGCTTTGCTTTGGTTAATGAACAAGTAAGAAAAGGGTAAAATGGTCTTTTACCCTTTAGGAAGTTGGTTTATGGAATGGGCCTCGGATATTGGGTTATCGGGTTAATTATTGATCAAGATTGTATTTATTGTTAGTTGACGCGAGGTTATCCGGTTCAGCGGTCCGATCAGTTATTTGATTATCATCGGATTAAGGTGAGTCTCCTCACTTTACTCGTGGGTCGAAGGCACCAATGCCGACCCACTAGGTTTTGTTATGCTAGTTGTTTTTGTGACTCTTGTATGGTATGTTGGGCTAGGCCCATTTGTATGCTGGGCTAGGCCCATTGTATGTCAGGCTAGACCCATTTGTATGTTGGGCTAGGCCCATGGATCAGGAGGGGCTAGGCCCATTGTATGCTATGTAGGTGCTAACTGTCTTTGTGACTTTTGCATTTGTATGATCGGGCTAGGCCCATTATGGTGGGGTGGGCCTAATATGCGAGTTGGACCCAATATGAGGGCTAGGCCCAATGGTATGCGGTATTTTGGGGAACTCACTAAGCTTTACGCTTACGGTTTTTTTTGTTATAGTTTTCAGGTACTTCTGGTTCGAAAGGGAAGGACCCGGTTTGATTGCAATGCATCCACCCGTGTTTCTGTATTATGATGATTTTGGGATTGTACTCTGATAACTGTTTTCTTATAAAGTACTTTTGAATATTAGAAAAAGAATATTGAATGTTGACTTAAAGATAATTAATGTTTTGGTTGATTTAAAAATAAAATTCTTACCTCATAATTTTGGGACGTTACAGGCAGTTAGAGTTTCATTCTCAGGGTTTGGAGAGGTGGATGTTGGTCATAAGAAGGTCCAAGAGCAACTTAAGGTGTTTAAATAAGGCAAAAACCCTAAAAATTAGGGTTTGTCCCAGGTGACCGTACGCCCAGCGTACGTGGATGCCTCCGCGATCATCATTTCGACCCAGTATGCCCAACGTACTTCTAGCGTACTTGCCAGGGACCAAAATACAAGAGTTTTTAAGTTGAGGGAAAAAATTGGAAAAATACCTGAAATGCAAATGTTACAAAAACCATCATAAAAGTTGGTGCTATGCATGTCCAATGCATGTCTTGAAGCCATAAAGAGTCAAAACAAGGGGTTTTCCATAGAAATCTCATGCATGGCTTAAAACCCAACCAAACTTCAGATCCAAACCAACAATCATGTTAAATGTTCCAGAGATTCATAAAGTTGCAAACTTTATGAGATCTCACCACTCCAATCAACAAGAACATGAAGAATTAAGGACAAAACTCAAGATCTAGCAAGCTATTATGATAAAAATGGAGTCTTGGACACTTACAAATGTCTAAGAGAGTGCTAGAACAAAGGATGAGGACTTGTTTGCTGAATCTTAGCTCACTTATTCTTCTTTCTTTCTCCAAGGACTTTAAAGAATACCAAAAAGGGCTTAAATAAAGGAGGAAGGAAATTAGGGTTTCTCAGATCTCAAGGAGGCTAAGGGCGAGCAAACCTTAGCCTCCTCATTCCTTTAAATAAGAAGCAAAACCCGGAAAATAAGGTTTCTCATATGCTAGCTGCCACGCCGTGGCCATATGCTGTCACGTCGTGACGACTTAAATGAAACATGCGGACCATCTTGACTTGCCACGTGGTGGTGGCTCATTCACGCCGTGGCAAACCCTTAAATGCCAAAAATTGAAAACATAAAGTACCTTGAGATTAGGATGTTACAATCAAAATCCAGCTCCTTATACAATTAACATGTTTTTAATACTCTAAACCAACTCATTATGATTTTGTGAAATAATTAACAATATAATAAAAGAAATTATTATTAAAAAAACTTAACCTTTGATTACACTTTAAAATCCACAATTTTAGCTTTAGCCGTAGTTGCAAAAGTTTAAAAATGACTCAACTAGAAAAGACCAAGCGGGACCGTGCACTAGCCTCCGGGCCACACAAATACATGATAGGGTTCCCATCATTTTGTCGATGCACGGAAGGGAATGGGGACCGGTTTGCCAAGATGCCTCTTTAATATGTATGTGTCATTTTCTTTCCGATGCCATATTTCATTTCTTGCATCATTTATGATCTATTATTTTCTTAACATCTTTTAGTATGCTAATTGGTTTTTATAAGTTTTATCAATATATTTTTTTTAACCCGACAAATATAAATATATAATATACTCCTAAACTAACACCTAATAAGTTTTATCAATATAACTAGTAAAAACATATAAAAAAAATTAAAACACTAACAACCAATAAAAAAAATCTAAAAATAACATGTAATGTCAAAATTTTGATATGGACAAACCATAACCGAAAATAAAAAAACTATATAATCGATTATTCAAGTTAAAAATTATGGTTTTCAAAAATGACACGAGAAGAGAAAAAAATATATATGACATAAAACAAAATTGAGAGAGTTGAAATTTGAATTAATGTTTTTGTCTTTTGTGAAAAACACTTAATGTTCAAAATTCAAAATTCAGTATAATATTAATATGTGTTTGTCATATTTTTTATGATTAAATATAAATTAAACAAAATAATTATTATTTTATTTATCCTGCTGTGTCGTGTTTTCAATAATCGTTTTTATATTAATAAAATAAAACACTATATCATATTCCTACTATATAAAAACTTTCATGTTAAACTTAATTTTTATTTTGATTTTAGTCAAGAAAACACCAACCTCATATTTTAATGTGTGTGATGTGTTTTTTAGAAAAAAAAGAATTTATACTTGATAGTGATTACTTGGAATACAAAAAGACCATGTTCATGATTGGTTAACCACACCAAGGGTTAAATGTCAACCATAGTTAGTTCTTCAAGTTAAAAGTTAACCATGGTTAGGTTATTTTAATATGAGTTTGAGTTAGGGTTTAAGATGAGAAAATTAGCAGAGTAGTTTTTGAAGACAAGCGAAAGGGTAGATGTGTTATTTGGGGATCTTTTAAGATTTGGGTGAGAAAAGAGGGACCAAAACTCAAAATATTTAATTCGAGAGAGGACGATTGTAGATGACAACCTGCGCGTAATTCAAATTCTACCACTTCCGCCATTGGTATGTTATCTGAACTTATTTTACAAGCTGCTTTTCGATTAGTTTGATTGTCGGGATTCAGTTACTTTCTAGGTTTTTTTTTTTCCGACTCATACAAGGATCTGATTGTTGAAAAATGAGTTGATCTTGATTTTTAAATTCTACACAGGTCAATAACTAACCCTAGTTGTTATCTAGATTTTGTATATCGTTCTTGGGCGCATGGATTCAAGTTTGTTAGTTGGTTTTGGAGCTCATTTAGCTGAAATTGTGAACTGAGATTTTTATTTTTCTCGTTTCGAGTTCTGAGCCATGCAGTTCCCAAACATACACTAATTTATTTACTTATCGTAGATCGATTGTGAACTATTATATGCTATGTTAAGCTTGGAACTATCTAAAGTTGGACTTTTTTTTGATGGGATCTGAACTTAGTTTTAAGCGTCATGATTTATTTTTATGTATAGGATCATTAGCAATTTAGCATATACATCGTATGAACATATATGTTAGTATTTACTTCGAAATTGTGTCTTATACTCTTATTGTCCTAATCAATTTTTAAAGGAATAATGGAGTGCAATAGAGATGAAGCTACAAGGGCTAAAGAAATTGCTGAATCTAAGTTCTCTAGAAAGGACATAACGGGGGCCAAGAAATTTGCTTTAAAGGCCCAAACTTTGTATCCAGGTCTTGATGGAATTTCCCAACTTATAGCAGTTCTAGATGTGTATGTTGCTGCTGAACACAAAATAAATGGTGAATTGGATTTTTATGGGATTCTTGGTGTGAGCCCATTAGCAGATGATAAGACTGTGAGGAAACATTACAGAGAACTAGCTTTATCTCTTCATCCAGACAAGAACAAGTCCACAGGGGCAGATGGGGCGTTTAAATATATTTCTGAAGCTTTCAGTATTCTATCTGATAAAGAAAAAAGATCAACATATGACCATAAGAGAAACGGTAGAGGTTATGGTTTTAAACAGGCTCAAAACAATGGTTCACGGGCCCCACCGCCACACGGGCAGAACGGTTTTCACAATTTTACAAGGAGTGCTCCTGCTCAAGCCCAACAAACAAAGGTTACACCTGCCCAACAAACAAAAGTTCAATCTGCCCGAACAAAGGTTACTCCTGCCCAAACAAAGGATACGAGTAGGACTAATTCTTCTTCAGTGGATGATGTTAATCCCACCATGAAAACATTTCCCACATCTGTTCATTTATCATCTGATAAACAGATGCCAATACCCAAGACGTTTTGGACAGTATGCAAGAGATGTAAATTGCAATATGAATTTGTGAGAATGTATTTGAACCGAAATCTTCTATGTCCCACTTGCCATGGACCTTTTTTAGCACAAGAGGTCCCACCACCAAATACAAAAAAAACCTCTTCAGAAGCTCAAGGAGTGAACCCAGGAACAAGTGAGCAGGTGGGTCATGCTGATTCAGCTAACCGCTCCACAAGCTCAAAGTGGGCCCCATTCTTGAAAAAGACAGGTCCTGCTGACGTGGCGCAAGCAGCAAGCATGGTGCAAGAGGCGTATGGGAAAGTGAAAAGGGATAGAGAAGAAGCCCAGGCAGTTACAAAAAGAGAGGAAGCTTTAAGAAGGAAGATCTCCAAATGGGCAAACAAATTGTCATTTAAAACAAAACATGAAAATGAAATGAATGAAGTTGAGGAAAATAAGGAAACCGAAACATCGATCTCGGTTGATGGAAAAAAAGACGTGTCCAATAAAAGTAACAAGACTCGGTTAATAAATAAGGCAACGATGGAAATTAAAAAGAAATTACATGAATGGAGCTCAGAAGTTATTGATGATTTGGAAAATGGAGATTCGAAGAACGAAATGGAAATGTTAGTGATCGATGTGCAAGATTCAGATTTTCATGATTTTGATGAAGAAAGAAGGGAGAAATGTTTTAAAAAAGGGCAAGTGTGGGCTGCATATGATGATCGTGATGAAATGCCTAGATTCTATGCCATGATTCGGGAGGTAGTTTCTTTGGATCCGTTTAAGATGAAGATATGTTGGCTTAATCCGGAAGGTTTGTCTCCTGAGTTCTTGGAAGCATTCGGTGAGTTTAAACCAGGAAAACACGACATCGTTACAGTTGCTAATTACTTTTCGCATAAAGCTAATTTTAAGAAACAAGAAAACGGGAACATTTGTGTTTTTCCTACGAAAGGAGACGTGTGTGCTCTATACAGAAACGACCCGAAACCAGACATGGAGAAACAAAATTACGAAATCGTCCAAGTGGATGAATACGATGAAGAAACGGGAATTACAGTTACGCCACTTGCCAAAGTTGCTGGGTTTAAAACGGTGTTTCAGAGGCAGCAGATAAACAGCCGTAGTAATGGGACAAGGGTAGTTTTGGGAAATGAAATGTTTCGATTTTCTCATCAAATACCTTCCTACATGCTTAAGGGTGAAGAATCTGAAAATGCGCCAAAGGGTTGTTGTGAGCTTGATCCTGCAGCCATTCCTCCTGAGTTTTTGGAAGTTATGGGAGATGATAAAGATTGTGTTTTAGCGGATTTTAAGGAAGGCGATGACTTGGAATGTGGTTCCAAGTAGTGATGGTGTTTCTCCTATTTTGGCATTTGGGTGGAGAAATTTCCTGAACTTGGGAGTGAGTTTGTTTCTTGATGTTTTTTGGTGATTGGTTGGATGAAAAAAAGAAAGAAAGAAAGATGTAGAATAGGTGGTAAGATGTAGTGTGCATTATGCGGTTGGACATTGTGCTTAAAATGCTGCTCTAATTTTTGTTAGTTGCTGCAATGCCATATTTTGACTTTGTTTTGAACTGCTCTTGTACTTGTAGAACCTTAACGTTGGTTATTACTTATTATTGGAAAATCAAAATGTGGAGGGAGGGTTGTTTTGGTACAAAATATTCTTTCCTGTTTGCATGACTTGACTTGACTGGACTCAACAAAACGAAACAGATGTACATTATTGTGGCCCTGTGAATTGACATGCGATATCTAGTGCTAAGAGAGGTTTGGACATGGAAACCGATTGCTTCGAGTTTCCGTTTTCTCTTTTAATCTGAATCTACAATATCGAGAATTTTTTTACAAAATTTTTGGTAAATTACAGGCTATATCTATATATAAATTTTAAAAAAAAAAAAAAAAAAAAAAAAAGTAAAAATCTGATATTAGATGCAATATATATCAATAAACCAGGTGGAAATAGTAGAGCTCCCAAACATACGTATTTTGCATTAAAAAACCAAACAAATGTGAGGATTGTAGTTGTGAAAAGGGTTCATATTTGTTGTTAGTTTAAGATACACTATCTATCACTGGAATGTAGAAAAATTGGCATCGGACAAAGTGCACTAATGCCTCCGACCTGAAACATGGGCAAACATAAAGTAGGAATTGATTTAGAAGACGGAGAATAAATATACGAAAAATCAATGCAAAGTAAGATATGTGATTATCACTTATAGATGGATAGTTGAAGTCAAGCACACATCCAGTCCAAGCTGACTCAACTTGAAGCATTTTGTCTCATCTTGAACATTATTAGACTTCATAATGTAGCTTAATTAGTTGGTGCTCTTGTTGTTTGGATCAGGAGGAGGTCATGTAAGTAAGTGCTCCAGACTCTGTCTGATATACAATCATTAGCTTTCCTTGATTTCCAGGTAACCCGACCATCCTTTTCAAACCAAAACATCCACTTGATGCAATTTAAGGTACAACACATCTGGATTTTTTTGAGAAAATTGCCAAAAATGTCTTCTTCATTTATTGCTTCTCCAACTTTTTATAAACCAAGTAACCTAACTTTCTTTTCTTGCTCCAATCCTTATAAAAGCTCCATAAAGAACTAAAAGGACAAAATACCCTTTCCTCTCTTTATTGTGCAGTCATTTCATTTTGGTGAACTCCAACTTTCTCTTGATCAAATGATGACTACTATGCCCAGCTTTTTTATGCAACACATGTAACTCGCTGCTCTGCTCTGCTGGATTTATTGATCATCAAATACCAGTTATACTCTTTCTTCTTAACCCTTCATATTTACCTGTCCATTGTCTTTCTTCTTTTTTTATTTTCTTCCCAACAGAATTTCAGATTAGTTCCCCGAATTAGTGTATTTTTCCAAAAAAAGCTCCAAATTGCAATAGTATGAATCATGACAACGCCACTAATAGCATTAATACATAAATGATCGAATAGAATATCACTGTACACAACAAATGTATACTTCTTCAAACAATTTCAACTCAAAGTTGATGCAAAAATAAATGCATAATTAAGTTTACCTCAAATATTGTTCAAGTATGTGTGAGGACATTTTGATCACAAAAACGAATCATTGGGTCAACTATTACGTTTTGATCCCAAGAAAGTCTTCACATGTGTTTTTGCTATGTTCAAGGTTAACTCTATTACATTATGACCATTGACCCCTTTAGATAAAATTTCATACTGCATGCATATTTAACATTTATAGCAAAAAAGACTGGAAATTTATACCAAATTATCATTACCGCATCTAAATTAAATTGCCTACCAATACCTTCATCAGAAAGTTGAAGTTCAATGAAGAGACATGTCGATAGTTGAAGCGCAATGCTACTCTGTTTCAAAAGCTTAGAAAAAAAGAAACAAACTCATAAGTTTTGTATACATATATAAACACAAAGACTCACAAATAAACAAATTCAAGGCCTAAACTTGTGACCTATGTTTTTGAGATCACTATGGTTTGCAATCAAGCAATAGAAGATAGAAAGTTTTACTTCCCCATTTTGAGTATTGTTTGACTCCTTGATAACTTGAAAAATACTTATTTTATTTTATTTTTGTCACCGATTCAAATCTTGATTTTATTGGGGGGAAATGGGAATAAGAAAAAAACACCAGACTTGTGTAATGCATAAGTAGGCATTGTGCCAAAGGTGAACAAATAGTATCATTTGTTAAGCTGGTAACTAATTTGGTCACAACTAATCAACCGTTTTGTCTTATCTGGAAGTATACCGGATATCTTTCTATTAATAGTAACAAAAAATTCACTAGTGAGGTGGAATTCTAATTATACCTGGTGGAGCAGGAATGTTGTGACCTTGCATTTTTTTAAGCCCTGAAATGCAAGAGATTGCATTTGAACTGTTAAGAATCGAACTTAGATAAGCTAAAAAGGAAAAGCATATAAAAGTATCAATGGATGAAAATATAATCCAAAAGCTCTCATCTTGTTAGAGCGCACAGATTAGGTAAAGTTAGAGTTATATAAATATAAGCAATTGGGGGGGAGCTCATAATGTAAGCAGGTAACACTTGGATGCTTTATCGACTTCATAGTTATCATTTCCATTTTTACCTGTACAACAAATTCTGTATTAAATTAAAAACCAATGAAATTTTGTAGATCCAAATCCCCAACTTATACAAACAATGAAGAATTGCTTGAAAGCATGAAACTTATTGACACATTTTCTAAGAAACCAAATACTTCAGAAAATTAAAAAAAAAAAAAAAAAAAAAAACTAAACAAAACAAAAACAATGAAGAATAAAGGACCACCTTTGCGATTCGGTAAGATTGTAGAAAGTTAGGAAGCACATCCAATGCATAAAACATTCACAAATCTGCATGTTAGTAAGAAATTAGCTTTTACAAAGAGTGAAGAAAATTACAAATAGGTTAATAAAGCTTAAGCTATGAGCTGTTAGAATTCAAACATTTAGACTTCTTAGGTCCAACTCATTAAAGACAAGTTGATCAACCTGACAATAGGAATACAATATATAAAATGCACCATAATCGATATGACTAAGTAATATTAGAAATTACATAACTCGATTTAGTGATACTACAATCTTAATGGGAAATAACAAACATATTACCAACCTTAGACTCTAATCATTTTCTTTGAATAATAACCCTCAAAGTAATCATCAAGGAATTCTCATCAAAGCCCTGAGATGAAAATCTACCCATACTTGAAGGGTCTTTGTTGCGCAATTTCAAATATATAACAGAAAATGAGAAAAGCGATACCTTACAGGAAAACTTCTCTACGTCATAACCATTGGATTTCCTATTGGACTTTATACGTCATTTGTATCCACTTACATTCTGACACGTCACCAAATGACGTGCTTTTGACCATTAAGAAGTATTTTGCTTTTGTTGTTTGAACCTCTTCATACAGTACCCAAAAGGCAAAAGCTTCTATAAATACGTTATCGGATATCAATCCTTCACCTTTGTGATTCTCTCTCATCAGAATCAGAAAACCCGAAAATAGGAATTTTTGCGGTGTCGTATCCTCGCCGGAATATATTTGTAGTCTCTCAGGCGGCCCTCCATTATCTTTTTCATAATCATGGTAATGTTGTTCTAGATCTCAACTCTCAATTCTTCGTCGTGATTCACCCTGTTTCTATCTATAACAATATGATTGATAATGTAACAATCGGAACGTTGGTTTTGTATTTTCCTGTAGAATATTTCATCTGCTTTAATTGATTTTGGAAGCTGTACCAGCGTATGAATTTCAATTCATATTGGCTTTGCATTCGTATCATGGAATCTGTTTTTTTTCCTGCTCGACAATTGTACATTATTTTATCAGATTAGGAATGGATTGTCCCTTCCATAAAAATAACATAACATACCTTAATAAACCAATACATCCTAATATCAAGTCGTTCTTAATGATACATGATTGAGTTAAAATATATTCTTGGAAGATCGATCTAGTTTTTTCATACTAAAAGGAAATTGATGATTTTTAAACCTAATCCAGTAATCTATATCTAAGATAATCTAATGAAATCATATCGAAATACTCCAGTAACTAAAACGACGATTTGTTATTGAGAGTTTCTGATGTTGTAATTGCATTTGAATAAAATGAATTGGGAGTTGTTTTTTATTTTGTTGGTTAGCTGATTGTTTGACTTACCTATTTTTGTATATATATTTGTATCCAGACGACTTCAAGACGTGTTGCAGATAGGAAGGTGGAGAAGTTTGATAAGAACATCGTGAGGCGTGGATCAGTTCCTGAAACATTTGCGAAAAAGGGAAAGAGCTACCCTGTTGGCCCTGTTATACTTGGGTTTTTCGTTTTTGTTGTCATCGGATCATGTAATTATCATATATTTTTTTTGTGAATTTCAACGCTTTTCATTTCTTGGTTCCTGATTGTGCTAATAATTAATGTTTGCTTCTCTCTTCAGCTTTGTTTCAGATAATCAGGACTGCTACAAGCGGAGGAATGGCTTGATTGGATTGCTACGTACGTATCTGTTTTAATATCCCCAGCAGCTAGCGCTGTTTGCCATCTGAATGTAAAATTTCGTGAACATATTACTCCTTTGTGTTTAATTCTGGGCAATTACTATCAGTATTAGTGATCTTTTGTATAACATTTCATGTTTGTTTTTTTCTATTTACTTGCATCATCGATGCTACCTTTTTTTTTTTTTTTTTTTTAACGGGGTTGCATGAACATACTTAAGATATACGTACACCACCACATGAATAAATACAAAAATCAGAGATATTTTGGGCAGAAAGATTATATCATGTGCTTTGATCAGCTAAAAAGCATTTAAAGGGCCAACATAACATATATAGGAGAATCTGGAATGATATATAGCTCTTAGCAAAAATCAATCTATATTTAAAATAGATTCTGTCATATTTCGGCAACGAAGTATCTCCAATTACTCCTTTACTCATGAAAGTTCTAAGGCTCTGGGGAGTAGTTGTGGCATAGTATACACCACGGTATGGAGAGTTTTTTTTGTAAAAGTAGGTTGGTTTTAAAAAGTATCGTAGAAACGTTTTAGAATGTGCTCTAGAAATTGGCTTCTTTTTTGTTGGGTCCACTATTATCGTTCATTCCCATAAATTATATATATATATTTTCAAGTATCACCCCTTAACTTTCATTACTTTTCTATTATTTATATCTTTCATTCATTAATTCAAATTTCTACATTCATTATATATTATACATAGAAGATAATTATTATAAAATATATAATTATAATTTATGTGTTATTCTTAAGTAGTTATACCATTAAATGAATAATACAAATATCTTCAAATAGATACTAATATTGAATATATTACGTCGGAAAATTAAAAGATCAACTATAAACGATATTACATACAAATTATACACTAAATTAGAATTTAAATTAAACATTAAATCATAATATTCATAATGATATTTTTATTATCATTTATTTGTAAATATGAGAAAATCTTAGTCCATAATGCCTAAAATGTATAGCATGAGTTGTCACTATTTGTGTATGATAGTAAGCCTAACTTGTGGGTAGCAAAGTGTAGGACTCTAGGAAATGAAGAAGAAAGTTCTGGTAGTGTGCAATGTACGCCCCGTTGTGCATGGTATGATCGTGCAGTTAAGAAGAAAAATCAAACCATGTGGAAGATTACACGTTGGGTGGATGCACACAATTGTTTTGGATCATGTACTGGCAATAATAACAAAAATCTAAACTCTGCAACTATTGCCTTGTATATCCTCCATTCAATTGAAAAGGATGTTGCTTATCCAGTGAAACATATACAATCAAATATTAAAAATAGTCTGAATGTTGATGTTTCTTATGATAAGGCATGACATGGTAGGCGAAAAGCCATAGAAAGCATTTATGGAACTTGGGAGAGTAACTTTGATGAGTTGCCCAAGTACATATCACTAATATAATAATATTATAATTTAAATCTATCAAATAATAATACATAAAAATTTCATATTAGTCAAATATTCAAACGGTTTTATGGATGATTCTTATCTTTCCTTATATATAGGCAAACAAGTATCATTTAATTAGAAAAAGTCTTCAAATTTTTCAAAAATTTAAATAATAATTGGATAAAAAATACACCGTCTGTGTCATTTGGAAGTCCTTATAGGATGAAAGGGGCGTGACACACAATTGATAGAACCATAATCCCAACAACACCCCGGCAACCAAAAACGTCTATATTTATGTCTTTCTAACGCTTCATTCAAAATCATCTGACACCCTAAAAGCTTACCTTATCTCTCATGTCTTCTTCTTTATACTTCATTTTTTTGGAATCTCATGTGTGTTATTATTAATTTGGTTTTTTTGTTGCAGATGGTAATCTACCTCCGGCGAAGGAGTGCCAAAAGGTAGTAGCAGGAACTCATGACTTTGGGGAAGCTACCAAATAGGTTCAATACTGAGTCGTTGCCCTTTTTTTCTAGAGTTTGAAGCAACATATCGATGTTAGCTTCGTCTTTCTGGGTTTTTTGAATCCTAGAATTTTTGAAATCCATCAGAAAACCGTATCTCACCTTAGGTCGCTCCACTTCTCCGCCACCAATCAATTTACTTTCTCTCTATCTCAAACATCGTTGCATACATGACAACTCAAGTAAGTATTGATGAAGATAAATATTCGTTCGATCTTTTTGGCAGCATGTTCTTTTTTTTTTTTTTTCATTTTTCTATTTTGCATCGGATTCGTGTTGGATTTATAATCGTTACATATATGTTCCTCTTTCGATCCATCGAAATTACAAACCGTTTTATTATTGCAGATCCCATCGACAATGTTGTTAAAGGTGCTGAATCTGCTGCTTTTGACCGGTAAAAGATTTAAACTTTAAGAGCATTGGGTGTGGGCAACTAGTCATAACACCGTTTTGGTGTCACCTCACATGTCACATCACCAATTGTGTTATAACATCAAGTGGGGAAATGGTCACCATGTTGCATCTTGTTATAACACCAACTTTTTTCCACTTTATAATTTTTTTTTATTTTTTTTCGATTTTTTTTAATTTAAACAAATATTTTTTAAATATAACATAATAAATAAAACATGTTTAAAAATTATAAATAACATATAATAAAAATAATTTTTAAAATTAAAAATAACATAGAAATTAAATTACACATAACATCCAAATTAATATATATATATATATATATATATATATATATATATATATATATATATATATATATATATATATATAACGCTATTTGTTAAAATCAAACATTTTTTTTAAAAATTAAACGCTATTTGTTATCGTTATTGTTACCATAGAAGATATAATCCGCCAAGTCCTCTCGAAGTTGTCTGTGTTTATTTGTATCCTGAATGTCAACGACTCGATGCAAATACTCTACTGTTCCTAGTTGAAACTGAACGTGTCTAGGCTCCGTTGTGATATAGTGTGCAATATTTCGTCCTTTATCTTCTACTACCATGGTATGCATTATGATACATGCATACATGATATATCGTAGAGTTTCTAAATCCAATGTTCGTGCTGCACGTTCAACTATATGCCACTTCGTATTTAGCACTCCAAAAGCACGTTCCACATCCTTACGTGCTCCTTCTTGTCTTCTCTTAAAAAAATTGTCTCATTCTTCAACCGGGTGGCGGAATGCCTTCACGAATGTGGAATACTGAGGATATATTCCATCTGTAAGGTAATACCCATATTTGTATTCGTCTCCATTCACTGTGAAAGGAGCATCCGTGGCCTTTCCATTCAAAAGATCGTCGAATATTGGCGACTGATCAAGAACGTTGACGTCGTTGTTGGAACCCGCAACCCCAAAAAATGCATGCCAAATCCATAAATCTTGAGAAGCAACAACCTCTAAAACCAACGAAGGTGATCCGTGATGACCACTTGCGTATTTCCCTTTCCATGCTACCAGACAATTTTCCATTTCCAGTGTGTGCAATCAATGCTTCCGATCATTCCGGGAAACCCATGACGTTCTTCATGTGCCGCATATAATTCTTGCAACTCATGCAACGAAGGTTTCCGCAAATACACGTCTCCAAATGTTTCAATAACACCCCTTGACAATGTATACAAACTCTCCATTGCGGTTCTTTCGGACATTCTCATGTAGTCGTCCATGGTGTCGGGTGACTCCCCCATAGCTATCAAACGAATGGCCGCAACACATTTCTGCAACGTTGTAAACACTCGTCTACCTCTAGCATCATATCTCAATTGAAAAAAATTCATACCTAAACATAAATTAACTACAGTTTAATAATATAGTACATTTGTTGTAAAATTAAAAAGAAACATGTAGTACATTTGTATTTATTTTGTATAAAATTATAGTAAAGAATCGATACCGGCTTTCCAAGGCGTTGGCGATCCGTAGGAACACATTCCTACTCAAACGAAATCTTCTTTTGAAGTCCTTCGACCCGTATACACAATTATCCGCAAAGTAATCGCGATATAGATGCTCGTGTCCTTCCTCCCGATTTCTGTTTAACATCACACGTCTTGTTAGTAGCGGGGTTGGGTCTGATTGTAGCAGCTCGTTAGTATAATACTGATACATCCTTCTGATATCGTCATCGGAATCATCGGACGAGTCGAAATGATCCATAATTTTTTTAAAGATAATTGAGATTATATAGAGAGAAAGATAGAAGTTATGTGTAAAAAATTGTTTAGATAATAGGTATTTATATAGGAAAAGAATAATTAATTTTAGAGGTTTTTTTTTTTAATTAAATTGACCGTTTGAGTTTAAAATCAAACGGCTTAATTCACGTTTCACCCGGTGGTAACGAGCACGGATTGCAACATGTAGAGAAGCAACGAGTTGGGGGGGGGGGGGGGGGTGTTCCCCCGTTACCACGGCGTTAAAGCCGTCCACGTAAGCCCATAACGAGCAAAATTGACCTATACCGCATCGTCTAAGTGTTTCTTTATATTACGAAGGTGGTTGTGAATGTTTTAAGAACGGGCGATGGTTTTGGAGCTCTAACAAAGTCAGATTAAGTGATGTACGAGTACGCCTGCAAAAGTTATCTTCTTTTTCCCATATATAATGAAGCATTGCTTTTTTTTTTTTTTTTTCAGAAAGTGATATCATAAATATTTTGTCTGGGTATGGATTTCAGTGATTTGGGTATTTTTTTTAAGAAATTTCTCTTTTTAGATTACGATTCAATCCTCTTTGGTGTCTCTTTGGTGTCGATGAAATTTATTGAAATCATGTCTCTGTTTTAAGTTAGCTTCTGTTGTCTCATATCTGGATTTTTTATTTCTCGATGAGTTCTCTATTTTTTTTTTGTTGATTCTGTCAGGTTAGTTTTGAAGGTGTGAAGTAGGACAAGGATGTAGAAGTTTGATTTTGTAACTGTTGATGTCAAATTGAAAAGAGATGCTTGAAGCCTCACTTGAACTAAAGTTCAGATTATTTATTTTGAATCCATCATTTTTTCTTTTGAAAATAGCCCATCATTGCAAAAGAGTAAAACTGCAATTCTTTGAAGCTTAATCCCTTAGTTGTGTTTTTATTTTTCAGTATATTTGGGATAACTTTTTAATTAGCTTAATATTTTGTGATTTTTACAATTATGAAGAATGGAAACTATAATTATTACTCTACTATTGGGACCAA